TTAAAGTCCCCTCGGACACGACTTCCCCCTAAGAGAGTTTTGGAGGAATCATTTTTAAATACCTTCCATTTTTATAAGCCTTATAGGTAAAGCTTGGCGGGAGTAACTTCCAGGACTTGGAATTGCGTGGAGAAAATTGTGGCCAGTTATAAGAAATAAAGAACACTGAACAGGCCTCTGGCCTGTGGGGGCAGGGCCAATTTTTCCCCCAGTTTAAGCCAAAGCCTTGACCTAAGGTCAGTCCGTCCAAGAGAGGGATTTTGAAAAGGGTTTGGGGGGACCCTGAGGCTACGCCCTTTTTGCAATCTATTGTGGCGCGGGGGAATTTTATGGGGTTGGTGTGAGGGACGAGGATGTGGAACGTGGGAGGACCCAGGAAGAGCTACAACTGAAGAGCTGCAACTGAAAAGTGAAGCCTTAACGGAACACCAACAGCTGCACTGGGAATTGGGGTTCAGGGAGGAGGAAGAAGAGGGGAGGAAGGGGGCCTTTTTCAGGGTTAAGGGCATGTGGCAAAGTGGGGAAAGAGTTGCAAAGTTTTGTTGAAAAAATACACCCTGACCGCTGAAACAAGCCATATCTAACTGTTCAGTGACAAAGCCTTGTCCCCCCTAGGGAAATCTTAGGGGACGCCCGAAACGGCCTCTTGGACAAATTTTTTTTTGCGATAGGGGTTTCCCGCGCCCCTCAAGCTGGTCCCCAGTGGCATTAAAAGACAAAGAAGAGAAGACTCCCGAGAGGGGCTTGTTACCTGAAATCATTATGGGGGGGATTCCCCTTCCGAACAAAAACCCCAACTCCCTCCTATCCCCCTATCTTCCCTAAGCCAAGAAGAGTCTTCAATAAAAATATGTAATATGATTTAATTGTTCATGATTTATTTATTTAGTTCTCTTGTTTTGTTATGTAAAACTTAAATTTAAATTTTAAACCTTTTTGCACTTTCTCTAATTTCTTGACGTGTTTGATCAAGTGTGAGTTCCAAACTGGTGCTGCGTACTCCAGTATGGGTCTGACGTACATGGTGTACAGTGTCTTGAACGATTCCTTACAAAGGTATCGGAACGCTATTCTCAGGTTTGCCATGTACCCATATGCTGCAGCAGTTATCTGGTTGATGTGTGTTTCCGGAGACGTGCTTGATGTTATACACACCTCAAGACCTTTCTCCTTGAGCGAGGTTTGCAGTCTTTGGCTACCTAGCCTATACTCTGTCGGCGGTCTTCTTAGCCCTTCCTTGATCTTCATGACTTTGCATTTGGCGGGGTTAAATTCGAGAAGCCAGTTGCTGGACCAGGTGTCCAGCCTGTCCAGGTCTCTCTCAAGTCTTGCCTGATCCTCATCTGATTTAATTCTCCTCATTAACTTCACATCATCTCTAACAGGGACACTTCTGAGTCTATACACTGAGTGTATACACCGAGGTTTGTGTGGAAAGTGTACATATATCCCAGATTTAATTAGATTTTTCTTCAATGGTTGTTAATAGGTGTACTGTAATCATAGTGATCCTTGTAGAACTTTATGTACTATACCCCTCAAAGAAAGTTCTTTGATGCTGGTGAGGAGCTCTTGATCTAGGGAATTGGATCTGTGCTCCAATTCCTTGATTTAAGCCTGAATGCCCCCCCCACAGGTGCTGTATAATCCCTTGGGGTTTAGCGCTCCCCATGATAATGCACTGTAACATCTTTACATTACCCAAATTACAAAAAATATTGAGTGAATCTTGTGAATATTGATATTTTTTTTAATAATATATACTGAATTTTTCTAATGCCAAGTCTGCATTTGTCTGAGATGATCATAATGGAAAGAAACACATTGAGGCGTCCTTTCCAATAATTAATATCAGATATCAATAACTTAAGTTTTTCTAAAGTATATACAGTGTCTTTTTTTTTTTTTAACCAAAACTCCGTTGGGGTATAGGTTATGCATTTTTTTTGAGATTTGTCTATCGGAGTTGACCTTTTCAAAATCGAACCCTAGTATAAACTTGACGTTATTCTTTCATTGTCAACAAACAAAATTATCAATTTCAAAGCAGGGTACCAAGTTAATCTTACAATTTTCATTATTTTACAAATTTTACAGTTTTCATTTCATTTTCATTATTTTCATTTCATTATTTCATTTTTTTTTCATTTCATTAATTCATTTTCATTATTTTACAATTTTAAAATTTTCATTATTTTACAAATCATGACAGACATAAAATGACATTCAGACGGTCATTGAAAATAATATTTAAGTTTTTGTTCATAAAATATAATTGCCACAAGACGGATGTAAATTTTCACCAATTTAGAAATATCAGTGATGTGCTGAGAAAGGTTCAACAGTTGGACTTTTTCTTTCTCATTGTTAAAATTAACTAAGTTAATATTTTGCACGAGTGATGAACATTATTTGTTTAAAGGTTACTCAGAAATTACAGTCATGCTGTTACTAGTCTTAGATAAATGCCGTTGGGCACCATTACTATAAGCAGTTATGTTTTGCCTATGAGCCCATTGCGCTTTACACATGTGTGTACAGTAGACAGTTATATTACATGGTAGTTATATTCCTGAAAACGCCGTGTTAGGTAAAAACCGTGTTAGATAAACTGAAGGTAAACTGGGTCAATGATGTGTTTGGCCCCAGTGTGAAAAAAAAAACCTCCTGGAAAAGAAATTGCCACTCAAGTGCCTCCTGGTACTGGACAATGCTCCTGCTCATCCTCCAGACTTGGAAGACCAATTGTTTAGGGACTCCTGTTTTATAACAGTGAACTTCTTTCCTCCTAACACCACTCCTCTCATCCAGCCCATGGACCAGCAGGTCATAACTTCAAAAATCTCTACACAAAAGCAGCGTTTCGAAGGTGCTTTGAAGTGACCTCGGACACTGACTTGACCCTAAGAGAGTTCTGGAGGAATCACTTTAATACCTTCCATTTTATAAGCCTTATAGGTAAAGCTTGGCAGGGAGTAACTTCCAGGACTTGGAACTCTGCGTGGAGAAAATTGTGGCCAGATTATAAGAACATAAAGAACACTGCAACAGGCCTACTGGCCTGTGCGAGGCAGGTCCAATTTTCCCACCAGTTTAAGCCAACGCCTTGACCTAGTCAGGTCAGTCACGTCCAAGAGAGGGATTTTGAAGGGTTTGGGGCTGACCCTGAGGACCCTACGCCTGTTGTGCAATCTATTGTGGCGCTGGGGAAGTTCATGGGGTTGGATGTGAGGGACGAGGATGTGGAACAGTTCGTGGAGGACCACAGGGAAGAGCTGCAAGACCTTGAACTGGAACACCAACAGACTGCAGCTGAGGAAATTGCTTCAGAGGAGGAGGAAGAGAGAGGGGAGAAGGTGCCTTCTTCAGTGATTAAGGACATGTGTGCAAAGTGGAATGAGTTGCAAAGTTTTGTTGAAAAGTATCACCCTGACCAAGCTGAAACAAGCCATATCTGCAACATGTTCAGTGACAAAGCCTTGTCCCACTAGGGAAATCTTAGAGACGCCAGAAACAGACCTCTCTGGACAAATTTTTTGTGCGATAGGGGTCCAGCGACTCTCAAGCTGGTCCTAGTGGCATTAAAAGACAAAGAAGAGAAGTTACTCCAGAGAGGGACTTGTTACCTGAAGTCATTATGGAGGGGGATAACCCTTCCGAACAATAACCCCAACTCCCTCTCTACTCCTCCCTATCTTCCATAAACCAAGAAGAGTCTTCAATAAAGATATGTAATACTGATTTAATTGTTCATGTATTTATTTTATTTAGTTCTCATTGTTTTGTGTATGTAAAACTATAATTAATCTTTAAAAAAAAATGTTTTTTTTTTTTGTGAATATTTTTGGGTGTCTGGAACGGATTAATTGTATTTACAATTATTCTTATGGGAATTCTTATTTCGATTTTCGGCCATTTCGGGTTTAGGCCAACCTTCTGGAACGGATTACGGCCGGTAACCGAGAGTCCATTGTCTTTTTTTTTATTAACACATCGGCTGTTTCCCACCAAGGCAGGGTGTACTGAAAAAGAAAAACATTCATCATTCACTCCATCACTGTCTTGCTAGAGGCATGCTTACACTACAGTTATAAAACTGCAACATTAACACCCCTCCTTCAGAGTACCAGCACTGTACTTCCCATCTGCCTGAATCAAGTCTGGCCTGCCGGTTTTCTTGAATCCCTTAATAAATGTTACCTTGCTTACACTACAGTAGTACGTCAAGTCTTAAAAAGCATTTGTCTCCATTCGCTCCTAACACGCTCACGCACGCTTGCTGGAAGTCCAAACCCCTCGCACACAAAATCTCATTTACCTCCTCCAACACCTCCTTGACCGAGCCATACCTCACCTTCCCTTCACGACAGATTTATGCACTCTCGAAGTCATATTTTGTTCCATCCTCTGCATGTCCAAGCCACCTCAATAACCCCTCCTCAGCCCTCTGGATAATATTATATTATTATATATTATATATTATATATATATATATATATATTATATATATATACTATATATATATATATATTATATATATATTATATACTGCTTAACATTCGCAAACAGGCGAAATTATTTATAAACATTGTCTCTACATCCACAGCAGGACTCGAACCTGCTAACTCTGTATCAAGAGTTCACAGTACTTTACCACGAGACTAGACCTGCGATAAGTATGGGCGCTTAGCCGAAGCTAAGCTATGTTACCCCATACCCCTGGGCACCAAGCGCGTTTTGAAAGTTATTTCATGGAATCCTGATAAAACAATATTTTTCATGTAATGTTCAGTTTAAAAAGTATCCCTTAAAAAATTGTCATTAACAATAATGAGTGTCGGGGTCCAAATTGTTTATTCTGTCTATTGTTAATCTAGATATTAGTTAACATCGATGATAAATCTTCACTTATTTGCCTTAAAATAAATGAAGTAAAATTTTATCCAATATATAATTAATTATTTGTGTGTATTGGGTGTATTACAAAACTTCAATTTGCTATAGGTCTTTATTTATAAAACATACAATGAGAATTGGAATATGTTACTTCATTATTATAAAAGTTTTAATTTCTTCTGCTGTTCACTCAGTACGATGGCTGGTATGATGGCTGGGGTTGGTATGATGGCTGGGGTTGGTATGATGGCTGGGGTTGGTATGAGGGCTGTGGCTTGAAGGTGACTGGTGGACCGGTCACCTGGGCGTACTGGGCCTCGCCGGTGTAACTGACTTGAGCCTGATACCCGCCGTTGTCGTCGGCAACGTAATTCACCTGTTATATTTAATTGGCATTACTAGTAAAAACTAACACGATGTAGATTAAAGGTGATACATATTTTTGGAATAGTTTCATGCACTTCTCTTGTATTTTGTAATTTAAATATTCATTTGTCATCTTACCGTCTGTTTGCGGCCGTCAGGGAGTTGGATGGTATAGGATCCTGTGACAGTGTTCCCATCAGACTGTTCAGTTTGGCCAAAGTCATTGCCAGAGTAGTCGTCCTTGATGTTGTACTGGAAGTTGTATGGCATGCCATCCTGAGGTATAAAGTAATGAAAAATTATGTAAGTAAATCCAGGTTCTATAAATAGTCCTTTTTGAATATGTTTTGTGTTATAGCTTAGTTTTTATTGTGATATATAACTTAACTGACCTGCTGATAGGCAGACTGCTGTGATGGGGCGCCATAGGGGTCAATAGGGAAGGTGTTAGCTACACCTAACACCACCAGTGTTATAGCAGCCTGTGGGTGATCAAACGTGTGATTAGACTGTTTTAATATATTTGCATATATATAAACTATGTATGATATATATTATATATTTGTGTATGTGTGTGTGTCTGTGTGTATGTGTATGTGTATGGAAGACAAATTGGCGATTTAGTTGATTTAGGTTTAAAAATAAAAACGGTCATTTTTCCGTATTAACAGGGTAAAAATCTAAAGTTTCTGGAATCCTTTTAAATTGTTAATAATAATTATGGCAAGAAATACAAACTTGTTGTTGAAGTACCTTCGTGATCATGTTGACTAGTTGACGTTATTGTGGAGGCTTAGTGAATGATGTTGAGGTAACGTTGGAAGAGGTTTAAATAGTGATGGTGAAGGTTAACCTTGACGGGTGTGTTGGGATGGTCAGCACTCTTGCACCCTCTGGGAGAGAACCATCACGTTGAGACAAATTATCCACTCCATACCACTTACTGTATGACCCAAAAACAAACTTGCAAGTCTTCCTCAGATTTCTTTCATTTATCTTCAGTGTTGCGGTTAAATGTCATAGACAATATTGTTTATAGGAGTTTGTGTGCGTTACTCTCAGAACATTTCTTAAGAACATTTATTTATTTATTAACACTGTATTTTTTCGTATTATTGTGAGATTAGCGTGTTCCCTAGAATTTTTTTTATGTCGGTATTATTCAGTATATTTTCGAAAAGGCCTTAATAATTATCATCATCGTACAAAGATTTGCTATGTTTTCCCTCACGTGAGCCACAGTGGTTCGTAGTTATTCCTTCGTCAAATGTGCTACAGTGATAAATTAATTTATATATTATTCAACACACTGGCAGTCTCCCACCAAGGCAGGGTGATCTAAAAATAAAAACAAAAGTTTTTATTTTTACATTTAGCAATTTATACAAGGGAAGGGGTTATTAACCCCTGGCTCCCGGCACTTTAATCCCCTTTTACGACACGCATGGATTCTACCCCACTTTCCCATGGTGATAACAGGATATAAAGAACAAGAACTATAAAAAAAATAGAAGTAAACACAGATGGTTGTGTGCGTGTATATATATATATATATATATAATATATATATATATATTATATATATATATATATATATATAATTATATATACAGTTTGTACGAGGATAGTGAGGCTCAAGTTAGAGTATGTAGGAAAGAGGGAAATTATTTCCCAGTAAAAGTAGGCCTTAGACAAGGATGTGTGATGTCACCGTGGTTGTTATAATATATTTATAGATGGGGTTGTAAGAGAAGTAAATGCGAGGGTCTTGGCAAAGGCGTGGAGTTAAAGAAAAGAATCACACACAAAGTGGGAGTTGTCACAGCTGCTCTTTGCTGATGACACTGTGCTCTTTGGGGGATTCTGAAGAGAAGTTGCAGAGATTGGTGGTGGATTTGGTAGGGTGTGCAAAAGAAGAAAATTAAGGTGAATACAGGAAAGAGTAAAGGGTTATGAGGATAAAAAAAATTAGGTGAAAGAAAGATTGAATATCAGATTGAGGGAGAGAGTTTTGGAGGAGGTGAATGTTTTTCAGATATTTGGGAGTGGACGTGTCAGCGGTGGGTCTATGAAAGATGAGGTGAATCATAGAATTGATTTAGGGGAAAAGAGTGAGTGGTGCACTTAGGAGTCTGTGGAACAAAGAACTTTGTCCTTGGAGGCAAAGAGGGGAATGTATGAGAGTATAGTTTTACCAACGCTCTTATATGGGTGTGAAGCATGGGTGATGAATGTTGC